TAAAAATAAAATAAAAAAACTAAAACTTTTTATATAGTAAAATAATTCTAAAATAAGCATGATTATTATTTATTTAATTTTAAAATAATAAAAACGAAATAAATTAATATTTCTCTTATTAACATACATATATAATAACATATTTTTTTATAAAAAAATCAATATTTGCTTTTTGCTTTAATCACTTTTTTTTTTTAGAATTTTATTTTTATTATTAAATTATTTTGATTCTAAAAATTAATTTTAATATTTTAAATTAGTTTAATTGCTAATATCCTTATACTAATATTATTAAAAAAGCTTATCATTATTATCTTACATTTATTTTTATTATTCCAATAATAATTCATTTTATAATATTTACTCTTATAATTTATCTATAACATTTTTCAAGTTATTTATATTGAAAAAAGGTTTATGTTTACAATTAAAACATGAGTATGTATTATTTTTATCTGCATGTATTATATTTTTTTTATTCTTTTTAAATAAAGATATTAATTTATATTCTTCTTATTTTATAAATTCAACTTTTTAAAAAGGAGGATTCAATTTTAAAGGAACAAATTAATTTTATTTTATTGTTTAGAATTTTCCGAATATTTTTTTAGAATTATTTTACTCTATAACAGGAAATTTTTCGAATATTTTAACATTATTGAGTTAATTTTATGATAATGAATTTGTTTTTAAAGTTCGATGAAAATTCGATTAATGGGTTTTATTAGGAGTTCTATATGAAAACTAAGAATTGTTATTATAATTTAATAAACTTTTAGAATAACTTAAAGATTTTTCATTATAATTTTCATTTTTTTAAAACATAAATTATATTTAGACTTTATTTGGTAATTTAACTAAATCATCATATTATGATCTTTTTTTTATTTTTAATTTTTTAGTTTATTTTTTTACATTTATTTGGAATAATTATTGGGTTGTTTAGAATAGTAATTATGCATTATTTTTATTTTATTTTTTTATAAAAAAATTGTGAATATAAATAATAAATAAAAAATATATAAAATATTAAATAAAAAATATTTATATAAAAAATATATAAAAAATTTATAAAAATATAAAAACCTAATAAATATTAAAAATAATTGCTTATTTATTTATTAATTTTTTTTTTTTTTAATTTCTTTCATAATAATTTTATCTAATTTAAGAATTTCAAATCTAAATATTACCTTTATTTCTAATTTTTAATATTAGTAAGATTTAAAAATATTTATTTATATTTTCCTTTGTAATCCCAAAATCAGACTTAACAAAAAAAATATGCTTTAGAACAACATCATTTATATTTTGTTTAAAAATAATTTTTTTTATAGTTTTTATATTATATTTAAACAAATTTTTCCACTTTAATTAATAACTAAAGACAAAATTATTTCATTTTTACCTATTTTTTTAAAAAAATGAAAGGGGGAAGGGGGAAGGGGGGGAGAGCGAGGGAGGCTTTTCGATTTTTATTTTTTCCTAATGTTTTTCCAAAAATTATTCATTATTATTAAACAAATATATATTATATTTTTATAAGCTAAATAATATCTATTTTAATATATACAAAGTATTTAAATAGGAAGAATTTCGTTCATATTATTAGTATTATTTATCTAAAATAGTACTATTTTTAAAAAAAAAGCTTTTGTTTTTTAACTTTAAATTTTCTTTTCTTTGGATTTCTAAATATTCTTATAATTTATCACAAGAAAATATATTCCTATATAACTGTAATAAGGAGATTATTGTTTATGGAATTATATTGAATTTTACGATTATGAATGATCATGATCTTAATTTTTTTTATGGAATATTTGGATTTATCTAATGATATTTTTTTTTATTTTCCCATCAAAAAATTAAAGACTATATTGATTCAAACTATAATTATTCACTAATTCACTAAATAAGATGATTTATTTTGAAGAAACACATTTAAAATTTACTCAAAAAAAAATTAACTTTTGAAAGAGTATTAAAATGGTAAAATCTCATAAATGAAGATGTTTGAAACAATTTATTTATTAGTTGAAAATTATATAATATCCAAAAAAAAAAAAAACTTGAAGCTTATATAAGTGATTTTTTTAAAAAAAAATAATAATAAAAGAAATTCTTTATTTTAAAAAAAAAATAAAAGAAATTCTTTAAATAATTTAATAATATATTTTTTTTTTTTTAATATAATAATTTTCATTTAAAATAAAAATATTTTAAATTTATTTTTATTTCAAATAAAATAAAATGAATTTATTATTAAAATATTAATATGTTATTAAGTAAATATTTTATTTTTTAAATTAGAGAAAAGAATACATTTTATCTAATATAGAAATACTCTTTTAGATTTAATTGATTCAGATAATTTAAAATATATTATTATATTCATTAAATATGTTTTCGTTTTATATAAAATCTTACTTTTATGTTTTTTCTAATAAATAACTTGCTTTTTTAAATTTTTACATATTTAATTTTATCTTTTTATCTAAATTAAATAATTGGTTTATATTTTTATATTAATTAATCATAATTTTTACAAATATAAATTTATTTATATAAGGAAATTTGAATAAGAATTTAAATATTTATTATAATATTTTTAATATAAATTAATTTTGTTTAAGACTATATATTATTTTAATTTAAAAAATTATACACTCTATATCTTTTAATTATTTTAATATTAAATAAATAAGCTATTTTAAATTATTAATTGTCTAATATAATTTATTAATTTGTATATAATTTAATTATTATTTATAATTTTGTTAAATATTATAATAATATATAATATTTTTTTTTAAAATAATTTATTATTATTTTAATTTTTATAATTTAGGAAAATATGTATGTTCTAATTGTACAAAGTGTAATATACTGTTTTTTTATAATAATTTTTTTATATTATATAATTTAATTATTTAATCTAATTTTGGTGTTAGAAACATTATAACTATACTTGTTATATATTAATTTTATATTTATAATAAAAATATAATTAATTTTTTTTCTTAATATTTCAAATTTTTTATTTTATTAAATTTTTTTTTAAAAAATTACAGATATTTTTAAAAAAGTAATTATATCAAAAAAATTATTTAATATATCTAAAATAAATAAATACAGTAGGTTTTTCTTTAATGAGGATTTTGATTTTATTAAAAATAAAAATTATTTTAATTAATAAATTTTATTCATTTTTTAAATGTTAGTTATAAAATAAAATTAAATATTATTTATTACATTGCATTTTTTTTTTTCTATTTATTTTTTTTGATAATAATTATATATATATATATAGTTTTTTAAATATATATTAATTTTTTTTATTTATATTTACTTTAATACTGTTTTTATTTATTTTTTTTAATTACGATTTAATTTATAATGACGAAACAATTAAAATAATATGATTTTAAAAAAAAAAAAAAAATATTAAAAAAGAATTATTTAAAAAATATAAAATTTATTAATAAAAGATTAAATAAATAAAATAAAGTAAATTGATATATTTTAGAAAATTTTCAGAATTTTAATTTATAGATAAAATAGATATTATTATTTTTAAATGAATATATTAATCAATTAATAATATTCACACAAAAATTAATTAAATGATCCGTCATTAATAAAGAAACATAAAATAATCATTAAAAAATAAAAAATAAATAAAAAATTAATTTAAAAAAAAATTAAAAAAATGGAAAAATTATAGTAATAAGAAGTCTAGATAACATCAGCTAATTAAACCATATTAAAAAATAAGACGATTTAAAGCTTAAAGGTAAGAAAAGAATAGTATGTTAACATATAATAGATAATCTCTAAAGTAATTAACATAATTTTATTGAAAAACTAGATGTAAACTAATAAAAGAAATAATAAGAAATTCAATAAAATTCTAAAGTTAATGCCTTAAAAAATTCTTTATTATTTTGGCTAATGGTAAATCACGCTGCTCTAAATGATATGATAATTGGCTATAATATGGGTGTTTTTAATACACTATATGATCATGTGGATTATATTTATTCTTGGAATTAAGAAGAAAAGAATATTTATTATTCTTTAATCAATTCATTGCCATAAGGAGTTGCAGCCATTGTTTCTTTATTCGCGGGAATTTGGGCTTAAAAATACGGCAGAAGAAAAATGTTAATTATTTTAAATTATATTAGTATGATTGGAAGTGCAATTACTTTAATATAGAATACATATGTATTAATAATTGGTAAATATGTATAAATATAAAACATATTAACAATAATATATGGTTATAAATCTACATATATTTAATTTAAAACATTTTTAATTTATTTATTAGATTATATTTTAATAGAAAAAAAAAAAAAATTAAAATATAAATAATTATATAAATTTTATTTATCAATATAATTTTAAAAAAATAAATATTATCATGAATAAAAATAGAATTTATATATTATTAATATATTTTTTAATTATTAAAAATAATATATATATAAAATAAATAATATCTTTTTTAATATAAAATATTATTAAAATAAAGGAAGATGTATAATTGGATTTTGTTTAGGTGGATGGAGTTGTATTGGTCCACTTTATTCAATTGAAATTGCTTGCAAACAATTTAAAGGAGCAAGTGGAATAACATATTCGTTATATTTTGGTTTTGGTATTTTATTGGCTTATGTTTTAGGTTATGGGTTACCTTATAGTCCTAGTTAAAGTTAAAATAATAGTTATTGGAGGATAATGTTGGGTATTCCAATTGTGCTTTCTATGATAATTAATTTCGGTTATCATTTTATATTTAAAAATGAAACTGTGAATTATATTATGTTAACACAAAACAATTTATAGAAAACATAAGAAATTTTAAATGCTAATTATACATAATCCATTGCAAATGAAGAGTATAATGATCTTTTATAATTTACTTTAAGTTAAAAATGTAATTTATATATATATATGCATTTTTTAATTATCTTTTATAAAAAAATAGAATAAAGCAAATAAATGGGTTATATTGATTTATTAAATTATAGATATAAATCAAGAACAATTTTAATTTTTATATTTACAATGGCCTTTTGTTATTGTGGAAGTAATGCCGTTAATGTCTATTGTTTTAGTATACTTGCTTCTATAGAAGATGCTTCTACAGCTTAACTTTTTACTTCAATAATTCCTATAGGAGATATTATTGGACCTTTTATATCTATAATTCTTATTGGTAGTCTAAACAGAAAAAATTTATATATAGGAGGACTTTTCGGATGTATGTTTTCACTTAGTGTATTTTCTATTTTAGGATGGGCCTAAATTAGAGATGCCTAAAAATATTTCCTTATTTTATTTAAGCTTATTTTTGCATCAAGCGTCGGACCAGTTCATTGGAGTATTTATTTTAAAAAAAAAATATATAAAAAAAAAAAAGCATTCCCTTCCGAAATAATGCCTCCTATTGGAATCGGATTTTTCTCTTTTGCTTATTGGGTTTGTTCTTTATCTACAGTTTAAATATATCCTTATTTATTAAATGGAATTGGTACTGAAGCATCTATAATAATATTTCCTATTGTTACTATATTCCTTATAATGTATTTAAGTAAGTATATGAAAGATTCTACAGGAAAAACAAAAGAATAAATAGAAAATATGTATATAGCGAAACAATCAAATAATAATTTACAAACTCTAGAGGATTTAAATTTCCCTTATACAGCGAATAATATTTAGGGGATAGATTCACCTACTAAAAAATGAATAAAATACTTATAAACCAGGTATAAATATTTTATTATATATATTACTATAAAGTATTATTAATTTTTAATTTTTTTTTTTTTTTTTTTTTTTTAAAAAAAATAAAAAAAAATAAAAAAAAATACAATTTTTTTATTATATTTACATATATATATATATATATTTATAATTGTTTTTATTTTTTTGTTAATTTAATTTCGATTTATTGTTATTTTTTGTTAAATAAAATATAAGTTTTTTATATGCAAATAAACATTTTTTTTTTTTTTAATCAATTTAATTCAATTAGATTCATTTTTATAAGTTTCTAATAATATTTATTATAATATTTCATCATCTTCATTAAAATCTTACTCTTGTTGGAAATAGTTTTATTAAATTTTCTAAAATTTATTATTTTAAGTATTTTCTTCTAATAATTTTTCATATTATTATTCTTTTTCTTCTTAATATTATTATTATTATATATTATTTTTTTGTTCTTTTTACTCTTCTACTTTTTCATCCTATTTTTATTAATTTTATACCTCAGTATGATTTTTTTATTTTTCGCTTTTTTATTAGTCATTTTAGTTCTCAGATTTAATTTATTCAGCAGTTACTATATTTTCTTTTCTAAAAAAAAATAAAAATATTAATTATCAAAAAAAAAAAAAAAAATATATATATAAACTACTTTTTAATATTAATTTTAAGTGCTATTTCTTAAGCTTAATATTTAGGTTTATTTACTAAATTTATATTTTTATCAACTTTATTATTATGAATATTATTGTTTTAATCATCAGAAACTTAAAACTTTTCATAATAAATATTATTATTGTTTTAAGCCAATAATTTATTCCTAATCCTACAAAAAAAAAGTTAATAAAAAAGCATAAAAAAACAATAATTAATAAAAAAGCAATAAAAGAAAAAAAAAAATACATTACACAAAAAGACTTCCATCAAATTAAGTATACCATGGTCCCTAATTAATATTAAACTAATCATTAATATCTTTCCATTCTTTTTCTAAAATAAGTTAATCAATATTAAATTTCGAAATAGAATTAATTTTAGTAATTTAAATATTTTCTAAACTAATATGATTAAACACACTTCCTATTTAACTAATAATTTCATAACAAAGGCTATTGTTTTTCACAAAAAACTCCTAAACTTTACCCAACCCATAAATTTAAGTATTCCATTCTTTAACATAAATAAGCATTTCATTTTTTTCTATTTCTTCTTCTTTATCCAAAATACATATACATAATGATTTTTTATCATAGAATTTATATTCACTTAACATAGAAAAGTTTTTTAATATGTTTCCTAAAACATTACTATTTTTTTCCCTTAATCTTATATATTTATAATTTTCTATTTATATATTTTTCTATTCTTTCATTTCTTTTATCAAAATATTCTTCAAATCAATTACACTCAATTAAGAATCGGTTTACATTACAAACATTAACTCACAATCAAATTATAAACCAGGCTAATCTTCCTCAGAAAGAGCCCCTATAAAATATCTAATTGAAAATGTATTTTCTGAAGATGGTTATCCATATTATAAATAAAAAGTTCCTCTATTTTAAATTCCTTAAGTATTTATTATTTATGATAAATCTTTAAATTCAGACCCAAAAACATTCGATTTTTTTATAACAAAAGAATCTATATGTATTCTTAACTATTTTTTTTTTTAAAAAAAATGTATTAATTTTTTTTTTACTTATTAACTTATTAAAACTTTAGCTTCTTTAATAGTACTACGGTTATCAATTTATATTTCATATTCATATTCAGGAGCTTCTCGAGATTTATTTTTAGATGGATCATTAAATTTTATTATACATCTGCATGAATCTTTAATAAACTCTTCTTACCATTTATAAAAGTTATAATTATCAGATTTATATTCTAAATATAAAGATTAATTATTTTATATTCTTAACTCATTTAATTTTTTATCAGGAAATTCGTTTAAAATAATACACTAATCATTAACAAAATGTCCTAAGTTTCTTTTAATTAATCTATATTATATTTTATAATATGAAATTGATAATCTTAAATAAAAATAAAAAATTAACATTATTTCATTATTTATATTTAATTTATTTTTTGCTTGATTTATCAGAATATTAATTTACAAATCAAACTTAACATAAAGTCTATAAATTTATAAAAATTAATATAAATATATAAATATAAAATATAGATAAATATATAATATATATATATATATATCTATATTTTTTTATATTTTTTATTATTAATTAAAATATACTTAACAGATTTCATATCTTATAAATTCTTTATTCCACTTTTCCAAACATATAAAAAAATATATATTTTTGTACTATCATAATCTTCGAATTCTTATCCTTTGTCCCTAAACTCGACTATCAGGTCCTAATAATCAACTAAACTTTATATTTAATATAAAAACATATTATTTTATTCTTCGCTAAAAGTTTCTTTTAGTCTTTTATCAAATGTCGAATAAATTCTTAGCCTAAAATCTTCAAAAGCACTTTAAATTTAGAAACGTTCATAAATTTATACTTTAACATCTTATAGATTACACAAAAACTTATCAAAAGAAAATGTAAAGACATTATTTTCACAATAAACAATTAAGTGCATATTTTTAGATTTTTCTTCGAATTATTTTTTGCATTTAATAATTTCTTATTTTTCCTATTTTTCTTATTCTTGTATTATTTCTTCAACTTCAACTGGTATTTTTGGCAATTCAATATTTGTTTATTTTTCCACAATTTTATACATTAACATATACGCACTAGAATTTTGATTTAGATCACTGCAATTTAATTACCCAAAAACATTCTTTATTTACTATGGAGATATAATATTTACAAAGCTATCATTAAAATTATACCAAAAATCATTCTCAAAAGATTTTATATATGAAAAATAATGTCCACCAAAAGCACCACCAGAATGCACATTTACCGCATATAATTCATATACATATGGACCATTTTTTATATATTTTTATATTTCTTACTTATTCTTATCAATTTATTCCGAGTTTTCCTTGTATATTTATTAAAAGCATTCGTTATATTTTTCTTCTTCTTACTCTTCTGGTATTGTTTCAGTATGTTTTTATGATTTTGTACTCATTTTTACATCTGTTCCCCAATAAACCTTAATTATTTTAAAAATAAAAAATTAATAAATATAAAGATAAATATATATATAAGCATATAAATATAAATATACATATATATATATATAAATATATTTATATATTTGCATATTTATTATATTTTTACTGAATTATCAAAATTTTCTAATTCATATGCTTCATCTGCTCTTGAAATTAATGCAGGATGTGTGTATTCTTTAAGTTTAATTTATTTTTTAGGAAAAAAATTTTGTTGATGTGTAACTTATTTTTAAATAGTATTTTCAAACAAAGGTTATATTTCAACTAATGTATCATCAGAATATTAATCAATATGTGTATTATTATTATAAGGATCTTATTGATACATAGCATTTTTATTTTTAAGAATTCCTTTATTATTGTTATTATTATTAATTTTTATTTTAGAAATATTTTCTTCTTCATTTACAAATGGTGGATTTTCTTCAATATTAATATCTTCGTATTTTTTTAGGAATTCATTCATATCTAAAACAAAAGGAAAATATACTCTATTACATATTTTTTTTCTTTAAAAAGTTGTAAAATCTATATCAAATCTATTTAATTATAATATTAATACTTAGGGAAGCTATTTAAACCTAACACCTTTAATTGCATCAACTTTTTACTAACATTTTTCACAAAAATACTAATTATCTTTTTCCAAATAAACATTCTTAACATAATATTTTAAACATTTTTCCACTGAATCATTAATTACCTTTTTTTTTTTTTTTTTTTTAATTATATTTAGTTTTATATATAAGCATATTTTTTTCAACTTATTCAAATTAATTATTTATAATTAATTGTAAATCTTAATATTTATCCATTTTAATAGACTCATAATTACATATTTTACATTAAATAAAATTCTCTGTAATTCCTTCATATAAATCTCTTATAAACTAACTCTCTTTATTACTAGATGACTATTCAATTGCGTCAAATAATACCTTACTAAATTCCTATACATCATGTTATTAAAACATTTCATTTCCTTGCCAACCAAAGGAATTTATTAAAGGCTTCGTATCTAAATATTTGCGATTTTATTGGAAATATTAAAGTTTACCGAAAAGGACTTATAATTAAAAAGGTATACAATCTTCTTTATTATTATGCTTATTTGGATCGTACTTCCATTCAAATAATTTCTAACGAAAATCATAAGTCATAAATAATGACTATAACAAACTATTCATATAACATGTTGCACCTTAGTTTGAAAGACCTAGATATTCTTTATGTGTTTTTTTACTTTGATTTTGATTCATTTTATTTATTTTTTTAGAAAAATTTTGTTATAAGATAAGTTTTTTTTATTTAATAATTAATAATCATTTATAATATATATAATGTATATATTTGTTTTTTTTTTGCTTTGATATTTTTCTTTGTTCTGATATATATAGATATTTTATTATATTTTTTTTATAATAATATATTCCTTTTTATTTAATTTATAAATATTAATAATAAAAATTATTATTTAAAAAAATTAAATATAAAAAAAATAATAAGAATGTAACCAATAATAATATAGACTCCTTTTCAATAATATCCAAATTAAATAAGACAGCCTTTATTTGGAAATTCAAATGCAAATTTTAATAAAAAAATAGTTTAATAATAGAACTAATAAACTCGTAATTCATCCTAAACATTACCATAAAATTTTGAAAATTTGAATAATAATTAAGAGTTATTAATAAAAAATTACTAATAATAAGAATAAAAAATATAAAATTTAGAAAGATAAAATGAAAGTCTATGTGAAATAATTAAGACTTTAAATGAAAAAATTTAAAAGAAAGTAAATAATAATAATTAAAACAATGAAGAAAGCTAACGAATTTAATTATGTGAAAAAATAATAAAAAACAAGAAGAAGAAATTGAAGAAATAGAAGAAAAACTACAAAATTTAAACTAAAAACTCTCATAAAATGAATAAGAAAAAGAATAAAAAATAAGTTTTTTTTAATAAAAAATAAATGAAAAAGATGAAGAAAAAAAATAATTAATTTCCGAAAATTTAAAAATAGAAGAAAATATTAAAAAATTAAATAAAAGAATATAATAATATTAAGAACAAATTTAAATTTTACAAGAAAAATATGATTACATTAAAAATAACGAAAATAATAATTAAGAAGATAATTATTTTAGAAGTCTTTTTGAAGATTTAAATTTAAAATATGATTCTTTAAATGAAAGATTTGAAGAAAAATCAATTCTTAATGAATAATTATCAAATTAGATTAAGGAAAGTCAACTTTAATTAAAAGAAATCTAAATTAAATACAAAGAAACTTAAAACTAATTAAAAGAATCTTAAATTAATTTAAAAGAGACCTAAAATAAATTTAAGCAGACTTAAAATTAATTAAATAACACTTAAAATTAATTAAGTGAAGTTCTAAATTAATTAAATGAATCTTAAAATTAATTATAAGATACTTAAAATTAATTAAATTTAGCTTAATAATTTTAATAATAAAATGAGCTAGAACTAAATAAAGATCCTCAATAAAAAACAATAGAAAATAAACAAAAAGTAAAAGAAAATTAAGTATAATTAATACAAAGTTAATTAGAATTAAAAGAATGTTAAGTTTAATATTAAGTAACATAAAATTAATTATAGGAAACATAAAAAGATTTAAGCGAAATTAAAAAAAATATTAAAAAATACAAATTGAATTAAATGAAATAAAAAACAAAAATTAAATATTAATGACTGAATTATAAGAAACTTAAAATTAATTAAATGAAAAGAAAAATGACTAAATTTAAAATAAATTATAAGAAAACTATAAAAATTAATTTTAAGAATAATATAAAAACTTTGAAAATGAAAATCAAAAAAAACCTTTTTAAAATAATTAAATATATGAATAATTAAATAATCAATTAATAGAATAAATAAACAAAAATGAAAATTAATAATTTTATATAGAAGAAATAACTAAAAATTTTGAATTATAAATTTAATAATTAAATGAATTATTTAAATAAAAAATTGGAGAAAATTAAAATCTATTCTAAGAACAATTAGAAAAAGAAATCAAAGAAAAAATCTATTTTTAGAATATAGTAAAAGAAGAAATCGAAAATTTGAAAAAAGCTAATAAATTAATAATTGAAATGTAAAAAAGGGAAGAAATTAATAATATGAAAAAAATCGAATTCGAAATCTAAAAATTTTAGAATGAAAACGAATCATTAAAATAAATAAATTAATCTCAAGAAAAAATTATTTAAGAACTTAAAACTAATCTTCAGAAATCAAAACAATATATTAAAAATTAGTAATAAAATTAAATATAAGAAGAAAACATATAAAATAATATAATGATATAATCAAATATATTTTGATAAAAATATTAATAAAATATTATATAATATGAAAATAAATATAAATAATCATATTAAAAAATATTATTAAATGTATATTCAATAAAAAAGATGTTTAAATTTAAAGTATATTTTTTTATATATTATTTATTTTTATGTTATAAATTAGTTTTGAAATATTATTCTATTAACAGTTATTTTTTTTATTAATTTTTAGTGAAATATATTTTTTAATATTATTATATTTAATTTTTAAAATTAATATTATAATTATAATATTTTTATAATATATATATTTTTTTTTCTTTTATTACTTTTTAATTCATTTAATTATTAAAAGATATTTTATTAATATATATATATATATATATATAATATAGATATATATATATAATATTATTTTTTTATATTATATTATTTATAATTGAATTTACTATCTTTAAAATTCATAATTTATTAAAGAAGTATTATATTTGATTATATTTTAATTATATATTATTTATTATTATTATTATTTTAATTTTTGTATTTATTATAACTTTTGTAAAAAGTAAATATTTTTTATTCTTTCTTAAATATATATTTTATATAAAAACATGTAAAAAATTTTCATTATTGAATTATTTTTTTATTGATTTTTTTTTTTTTCCTTTTTATATTTTTTTTTTTTATAAATTAAAAAAAGGGAAAACAAAAAAAATTGCGAATTCCATTAATTATTTTTCAAGTAATACAATTCGTTTAAGATTTATAGTATTACTTTCATTATAGAATTCTAAGTAAATAAAGGGGGTTTTCAGTTGCTTCAATTGCATCACCCGCTTTTTTTAAGGTTATTCATCTATAAAATTATTAATTTTATATTAATAAATAATATATAAATATAAAATTAAATACATTTGTTTCGTGTATAGTTTATCCAAACAATCTAATTTAAGAAATTTTAGTTTATTCAGCTCCTCTATTACTTTAAACAAAAATCTATTTATTATTATATACAAAATATTTACAAATGCTTTATTTTTTACTGTAAGATGATTAACAGATTAAAATTTAACATATCTTAACAATGTTGATGATTTGAAATCTTCATTAGTAAGATCAAATTCTTATGCACAAACAAAATTTTCACAACTATCAAAGTCTAAATTTTATTAATTTACAAATAATCTTATGTGTTCAGGTGCTGAATCATCTATGTTGGGTACTCTGAAATTCATGTGATGTATTTTTACAGGCGCATTAAATCCTTTTTTTATAAATTACAATTTTTAATTTATAAATATGATATATATATATATATATATATATATATATATATATATATATATATATATATATATTTATTATACCTAATTATATAACTAATTATTAATCGCATTCGCTTTTCAAATAAATATTTGAACTCTTATCAAATAAAGCACTGTCTAATGGGAATTTATCATCTTAGTTTAAGCATTATATTTTAGATTTATCTATTTTAATATTATTTTTTAAATTATTTGATATTAAATCAATATATTTGTTTTTTATTTTGTATACCTATATAAGGCTCTAAATCCTCAAACTCTTAAGAATTTTTTTAAATATTGGGCTATTATTAATTGCCCATCATATTTGACATCATTTTTTTTTATTTATTTTTTTATAAAAAATTTTTCTTTTTAATATTTTTTTTTTTTGAGAATAGTAATTAATTATATATAAATTAATGAAAAAATCTGTTTAATTATTTTTTTGTTTTACTTTGTTTTCTATATTTTAGAAATATAATAATTATTTAAATACAAATAATTATTTGTAATAGAAAAACAATAAATAAAAAAATAAAAAAAATATATATATTTTTTTAATAATTAAAATTAATAATAATTATATATAAAAATTAAAATAAAAATATAATTAATGTAAATTTATTAGTAACAAGTAAATTATAAAAATAAAATAATTTACAAGTGTATTTATAAAAATTTTAAATTAATAAAAATATATATTTATAATAAAAATTAAATCTTTAATTTAAAGAAAAAAATAAAAAAATGATAACCTTATTTTCAAAAGTAGTAAAAAATATACATAAAAAATCATTTTTAATTCCAAAAACTTAATTTTCTTCATGTAAATATAATAATATTTTTTTTTTTTATATATATAAAAATAAAATAATAATAATAAGTAAAATAACCTCTCTTATTTACCCCTGGCCCTTTATTAACAAGCAATAATGTTAAATTATCAATGAATTATGATTATGGTTCAAGAGATCCTAGATTTATGTAGATAATAAAAGATATAAGAAATGATATTTTGAAAATTTGTGAAGTCTAAAAAGGTGAATATGAATGTATTTTATTATAAGGAAGTGGTACTTATGCAGTTGAAGCTGTTTTAGGCTAATCAATTCCTAAAGGAAAACATAAATTATTAATAGTATAAAATGGGGCTTATGGAATTAGAATGGAAAAAATATCATTATATTATGGATTAAATTATACTACTTTAAATTATTCAGATTGTGATGTTGTTAAACCTAAAGATGTTGCATAAAAACTTTAAGAAAATCCAGATATTACTCATGTTTCGATAATTCATTCAGAAACAACATCAGGTTTAATCAATCCGATTGAAGAAATTGGAAAAGTTATTAAGAATTTTAATAAAAATGTAATTTTTTATAAAATATAGATATATAATTGATTTTAATTTTTTTTATATTTTATTTATTAAGATTGTTTATATTGTTGATTCTATGAGTTCTTTTGCAGCTTACAGAATTAACCCAAAAGAAATAGGAATAGATTATTTAGTTGCTTCTTCTAATAAAAATTTGTAAGGAATACCTGGATTTGCATTTGTTATAGCTAATAATAAACATTTCTAAAATACAAAAGGTTTATTACATTTATATATTATATATATTAAATATTATAATTAGGATCTATAATGTATATATATATATATATATATATATATATATATATATATAAATATATAAAAATATATTAATATTAAATCATATATATATTAATAAAACATATATATATATATATATATATTTACAATAAATATATTTATACATATATATTATTATTTATATATTTTTATTTATATTCTTATTTTTTTATTTATTATTTTTTGAAGATAACGCTAGATCAATGGTATTAGATCTTTATTAATAATGGCAAGGATTAGAAGATAATGGTTAGTTTAGATTTACACCTCCGACTCATGTATTAAAAGCTACGAAAGTTGCAATAGATGAATATTTTGAATAAGGAGGCTAACCAAAAAGATTTTAGAAATATGATAGCAATTAAAAGTATAAATAAATAAATTAAAATTATTTTTAAAAAATAAAATAAAAAAGATTATTAACTAAAAGAATGACTGAAATGGGTTTCAAATTATATATTGAACCAAAATACTAAGGATGTATTATTACAACATTTCTTAATCCTAAGGATCCTAATTTTAAATTTAATGAATTTTACTAATTTTTGGCTGATAAAAATATGGTTATTTATCCTGGAAAATTAACTAAAGCTGATAGTTTCAGAATCGGATCTATAGGAGAAATTAATAATTAAAATATTTCTTAGTTATGTGAATATATTCATGATTATTTAGTTGTGAAAAAATGTTCTATTCCTGTTAAATATGATTGAAAATATTTTTTATTTATAAAATTTCGAAATATTATATGTTTAAAAGAAATTATTTAAATTATTTTAATTATTAATTTCAAAATTAAATGAAAATTAATAAATTTCAAAGTTATTTTTAAATATTATATATTAATTTTTATCTTTATTGAAAATAAATATAAATTATATTTTTTAAATTTTTTATTTAATAAATTTATTTATATATATATATATATATA